GACAGTTTGTTGTTCTGTGGATAAGTAGGTGTAGAGAAGAAAAGTCACAGAGGCGGAGTTGGAATAATTAAAAATGTGTATACCTGTCGAGGAATTGTGTTATTCAGGAGTGAGTTCGATCCGGGGCGAGAAATGAAAATGTCGAGTACCGGACACGATAAATAATGTCAAACGTTCATCGTGTGGAGGTGGACGGAGACAAAGCTCGAACGGATGGAGTTTTTGAAAGTTTTTGTGCATGGGCTGGGAGAGTTTTGTTTGAAAAATATGGTTATATAAAGTCATATCAGTACGACTAGCTTCTGAGTGATATCACTGTTTGGGCGAAGGTGATCGGCTCAAGACGGAGAAAAGTGGTTCCAGACCTCGCCAGATCTTCCATCATCAATCAAAAAACACGGGGCATGGGGTCGCTGTGTGTGGGCCTGCAGCCTTACATTGAGTTTGTTTAGTGAAACGTTCCAGTCGATAAAAGAGTCCATAAGATCCTGACTTTGGTTTTTTGGTTATAATTTAGTTTTATTCACCATTGCATATCGGTCCGATCCGACAGAACTCGCCGTTATTCTCACAGCAGCAGACCTCTGGAAAGGAGGCCGGAAACGGGAAACAGTCTAGGTAGGCTCCTAGTTGATGAGAGGGGGAAAAGTGAAAGCATGCATGTTTTCGCTCAACCTAATGCTAGAAGTCTAGGACAGTCAAGGAAATGCAAGGTTCAGCTGAACCAATTAGGTAGCTTGGGTCAATTGCTCCTAGAGAGACCGTGCAATAAAAACAGAAATATAAATTTTTTGTGAGATGGGAATAAATTAGCTTACGGAAATGCTCAAACGGGTTCCTAAACCTCGACTGACGTAAAAATGAGAATATTGATTTAGAGTTGGCTCAATGGTGACAAAAACAGATTACTTAATAAGACGTGGTAAATGAAGGTAAGGTGGAAAAAGAAGAGCAAGAGAGAACCCGGTTAAAGTTTGAAAACAGTCAGCAGGCAAGAAAATAGAGAGGAGAGGATTAGGAGGTCAAAAGGATGTGAGTTAAGTAGAAGAAGCAGGGTTTTACGAAGGACATTTTAGTCCAAGTAGCACCGGCCTCATTTGAGCAATTGTGGTCAAAAGGTGTCCGTAAATCTTAACTGAAGTATCGATTGAACTACACATTCGTTTTCAGGGTTTTGACGAAAATATAGATCCCTTGATAAAGGTAGGCGAAGGACGCTAAAGTAAAAAGAGAAGAGGATGAGAAAACACGGGTTCCTAAACCTAGAATGACGTATAAATGAGAACTCTGATTTAGAGTTGGCTCAATGGCGACAAAAACAAATTCATCCGTTAATAGGTCCGTTAATAGGTTTCCAACAAAATGGTTTGAAACGCGAACGGGACGGTTCACAGCATCACCGCGTTCTGATGTTTCAATATTATTAAAGTCTTTTGGCATAATTATAATAATTAGTGGGGTTAACAGAATATCAGTGTGGCAAAGGGAAGACTGCATGATTCAGTCAATTGCGTTGGTTTTCGTCACGCCATACACTGCTCATTTCTTCTTTAAGGCTCCGTCCTCGGAGCCGTGGCATATCCACCTTCCACTGCTACCTCCACTTTACACTCAACTGATGGTTTCTCTGGTCGCGCTCCGGGATTGTAGTCATTTGTGCATAGTTTTGAAAACGTTGATATGGACCACCGGGGATCGTTCTTTCCTAAGTTGTAAACTTAAAATAGCACAAATTGTCGCACTGATTACACGCTCTACGACGTGAGGTTCTCTCCAGCGGCCGGTGAACCTTGCTGTGCTTGTTGACAGTTTAACTTTTTCAAGCCAAACTTCATCACCAACGACAAACTGAATAGCGGACGCCTTTTTGTCGTAATAGTCTTTTTGACGTCTCTGTGCTGTATCCAGATTTTCACGCGCCAACAATTCTCCCTTTCGAGTGGTATCTCTCAACTCTACCACATATTCTTTGGCGATGGAGAACGTATCATACAGCAGGGAACGTCTCGGGTCAAATGCCAGTCTCATTTCTCGACCCGTTCAGGAGAAGCTTGGTGTTTACCCGGTTGACGCATGCACGGACGACCAGTATGCCATCACGCAAGCGCCCAGTTTCTTATCACAGTCTACTTTATCATCCACAAACGCATTCTACAGGTCCATCAAGGTTTTATTGGTTCGTTCGGTTTTCCCGTTCCTCTGTGGAGAGTAAGCAGTTGTCCTGATTTTATCCACCCCGAGTGACCAGTATTACTGCTGGACTAAGGTGCTTTCAAAGTTGCTACCCTGATCAGAATGAAGTTGGCATGGTGTGCTCCAGCAGTTCACCCAGCGCCTAACGACGGCCGAGGCCATTGTCTCAGTGTCTATTCGGTCCAAAGGAATCACTTCATAAAATTTCGTGAAATAATTGACTATGGCTAGAATAAATCGATTTCCCGCGCTTGGTTTGCGTCAGTGGTCCCACAATATCGACACCTACAATGTCGTTCGTGAATCCTGCCTTAATCGGTGTCAGTGGGGCCTGGATCTAGTGAAATGGTGCCTTAAATTGATCGCAGTGCACACAATCCCGGCGAAATGCTCTTATGTCCTTGATGTTCGGCCACGAAAACATTTACCTGGATGACTCGTCCATCCAGCATGGCCCAGCTCTGGTGTAGAAACTTCAGGGCGTTTTATTTATCGGACTTTGGGGCTACCACACGCTTTTCATCGGATTAGTAGTATTGAAAGTATATCACATCTGCTTACACCAATAAATAGTTCCACATAGCCCATAAACACCTCGTTTCCCATCTTTGACCAGCGACTTCTCGGCTGTCCGGCTTATCCTTACCAATTTCAGATGATTGTGCATTAAGGCAATCTGGGTCATTTGCCTACACCTGTCCCCATTCTCTATTGGCTCTCTCAGTAAAGTTGACTTGTGTCACGAACTGAGTGCATGATGGACGAGGTCCGTGCTCTCGACAGAGTCTCCTTGAGAGAGTGTCGGCATTAGGTTTCCCTTTGTCTTCTCTATAATGACAGGAAAAGTCGTACTCCTGAATTTGTTCCTGTCACCAAGCCGCTTGGCCTTCAGGTTATTTGAAGTTTCTTAACCACATCAGAGGTTGATGGTCGGTGAGGACAAGGAAGCGCCTTCCTAAAAATTCATGTCCATACTTCTTTAAAAACTGGATCAGTGCAAGCATTTCTGTCTTAGTTGTTCAATAATTTCTCTCCTGGTGACTTGACAGTCTGCTGTGATCACCTTTTTGTTGCCCTCGTCATCTATTTGAGGGAGCACATCACCAATCGCATATTCGCTGACATTGGTATCCGGGATGAATTTTCCATTACCCAGTCTTAATTGACGGAGTGCAAGAACGCGGCCGTTGAGGGTGCTTGCGAAGAGTCGAAAACGATTATTAGCAGTCCTCTGTCCAGTAAAACTTAGCCCCTTTCCGTGGTATGACAATGTGGCGTCTATCTCTGAAGTTCGAGGCACAAACTGCCGGTAGTACGATAAAGTCCCAGGAAGCTGCCGACTCCTGACTCGTTGCGAGGTTGAGGCCAGTTTTACACCATATTTACCTTTTCGTCGTCAGTTTGGCTACCTTTGGCAGAGACCACGTGGACAAGAAAGCGGACCACTCTTTGGAAAAATGTGCATTTGGTGGGATTTAACTTCAGACCGACGCTGCAAAGGCAGTCAAACGTGGCTCTTAGATTCGTCAAGTGTTTCTTCTCTGTCCTTCGGTGTACCACCACATCGTCCAGGTAGATAAGACACTGCTGTGGAATCAGCTCCCTGAGCGCCGAAGTTATTAGCCGCTGGAATGTAGCTGGCTCATTCGGTTTTCTAAAGGGCATTGTCTGGAATTAATATAATCCATTCAGGACGTAGAATGCTGTCTTTTCTCTATCTTTCTCCTCTGCCTGCCAGTACCTCCACGCCAGGTCAAGAGTTGAGAAATATTTTGCTCCTGATAGAGGGTCGAATATGTCCTCCATTATTGGCAAGGGAAAACGGTCTTTCTTTGCGACGTTATTTAACTTTCAATAATCGACACAGCATGGTTTTTCATCTTTCTTTTACACCAAAGCAATAGGAGCAACCCAGGGGAATTTTGCTGGCTGGATCACCTGGTTTGCCAGCATCTTTTTCATCATAGTCTCCAACTCCTGGACATAACAGCCTGGTGCGCGGCGGGGTTCAATCGTATGGCTCCAGCGCGGCCGTGTCTATCCGATGTTGTACTACTTCTGTCCTACCGAATGACTCGCCTTTCATTATAAATACATCCCGGTACTTCGTAATGAGCTTGCTTATCTCGCTCGTCTAGACCGACCTGGTTCAGGTTATACTCTCATGATGATATCCTGAAGCTCATGGGTCTGGGTTTCTACACCAACGACGGTACAGTGGTTGGCTCCGTTACGATTTTCCCTTCCTAGTTTTACTAGCCTGTGGAGTCCTTCATACCTATGGTGCACCGAAGCCTCTTCAGGATATCGGCCCTCAAGATAAGGCCCTCCGAGAACGGTTCTGCAACCACGAGCCAATGTCCAACCGTAACACCATCCAGTTGTACCATTAAGCGAACGGTGCCAATGGTGCGGATCGCCTCCCCTTTCGCCCCGCACAATCGGCCATAAAAAGATGTGATGTAAGGGTCACCCACGACCTGCAACATTTAGCTACTAATCAACGACTTTGTTGCCCCCGTGTCTACCATACCTTTAATCCAGTGCCTTTGCACTTGAATGTCTATACGAAACATCTTATCCTGGGACGTGCAAACTGCAGGGACAAGAGACTCACCCGTATTAGAATCATCCCGCTTTTCCCCTGCATGAGGCACTTGGTTCTCCATTCGTGCATGGTTTGACTCCTTTCTTTGGCCGGCATAAGTTAATCGTTTCCATTCGTCGCCGTTGTGCTGGTAAGGGCACCTACTCACTGGTTGACGATAGGGCTTCGATGCGCATGGGTTTCGACGCGGATGAGGATACTATTGAGAAATGGTCCAACAATGTGCATCACGACCTTGGATGATTCGTTGCAGTTTCTCCGTCACCCGTGCAAGTTGCACTGTCTCGTTGAAGCTTCCTATCTGTTTCGTAATCAACTTCTTTAAAGAAGCGTTTGCCACCCCTTCGATAAATTGTTCTATTGCGCGACCGTCGTGCCCCTCTGTGGTGTCATCTGGATAAGCCTTAGCCACAAGCTGCCTCACGCAGTAGGTATCAGCTTCAGTGGTCTTGCCAATATTTTGACGCGCCGCGAGGAATTGCGTCGGGTACTCGATGAAGTATAGTGCTGTGTCCCAAAGCTCACGTAACCGGACAAACATAATGTTGAGGTCATCGCTATGAAAGACGTTCGCCTGGAATGCGCGATTCACTGAGTCTCCCGCTAACAGACTCAGTAAAGAACCCTTTTGCTTACCCCTTGGAAACTTTCGGATATAGGCGCGCGCTTTTAATTCCCATCGTGGGTAATTGCTGCCCGTGGTGAACTTCTCCGCTGGAGGCAACGGCGGTGTGAGGTTCAAATTGAGCGCATCACTCGCGCGTAATCTTCTCAAACTTTTATCAATCATGTCTTCAGAATCGCTGGAACTGGAACAGGGCAACTTGCTGTCCTTCGGCTCCTTTGAAGTCTGTTTAGGAGTCTTCGGGCCTGCCCGCGACGACATTCTGTAATACGAAATCAGAAAGAGAATTCGCAGGATAATTTTCAGTTCGTGACACAATAAACTTATCAATGCAGATAATATGCCCAATATAAAATTAAATTCAAGTATGGCTCACGAGTTCACCGGATAGTTGTTGTCCGTTAATAGATTTCCGAAAAAATGGCCTGAAACGCGAACGGGACGGCATACAGTATTACACCGTTCTGGGATGTCAATATTATTACAATCTTTTGGCATGATAATAATTAGTGGGGTTAACAGAATATCAGTGTGGCAAAGAGAAGACTGCATGATTCAGTCAATGGTATCGGTTTTGGTCACAGCGCATACCTCAGTACAATGACCGTTAGACCGAAATTGTGTTACTGTTCAGTGGTCAATGAAGTGCCCAAACAACCGTACTTTCCAATAGGCCTTACCGCAGCTAACAAAGTTTTTATAGTCATCCTAACTCTCTGTAACCAATCATGTTTTATCCGCATACATTACTGCTTTACTCTTTCCGAAATGACCATGAGCAATCTGCACACCTCTAGATGTAAACTGAGAAATATAATTATTGTTATTATTGCACGAAGAGACCAAAGTGCACCAATGGTGGTACGCCAAGTCCGCTGACACTTCAGCTGACCATTGCTCCCAAGGCTTAAAATCACTGGAGGAACTACTCGATCGGCTCCACGGTCCAGCATTCCTGATCTCTGCGTCAAGCTACGAAAACAAACTGCCAACACCGCCCGCACCTGCTGAATCAATAGAAGCAGAAATAATGGTAATGACGAGCAAAGGTTAAGTGATGGTCTTTGGATGCTTACCGAGGTTTAGGGACATTAATGGAATGATTTTCGGATCCATTGATCTAGGTTTATTTTGGAAACTGGCAGATCTCCAATGAGGAGTAGGGAAATGGTGATACTGGAGATTTATGGGTACAAGTGAAGAGACTTGAGGTGTCGGAAGTGGTGAGCTCCCAAGGATTCCCCTTCTCACAGATTTTTGCTTTGGTTGGGCGACACACTTTCTGTTTAGAGTGTTTGTGAGTTTGTTTTTTGTCCTTGCAATCGGATTTTGTTTGCTTACTAGCCATTTTGGAAATAGGATCTATGAGGCTACGATCAAGTGAGAATAAACTCTTCGTCCTTCCTACTACAGAAGCTTTTATTTTGGTAGTTGCAAGCTAGAGTGACAGAACATTTGGAAGAGAGATCTATAGGGGATTAGAGGGTCAGCGTAAATCGAAAGGTGGGTGAGGTTTACCACGGCCATTTTAGAAGTTTCTTGCCTTTTTGTCAGTCCTTCGGTGAACATTGTGGCAACCTTGTGTGAATGGGTTTGTCTTGAGCCACCCTCGGTTTATCTTTGGACTGGATTTTCTGCGTTTTTGAAACAGTCCGTGACCACTAAGGAGTGGTTATATTCCATTATTAATCCCAGAATCCATTTGTTGTATTTTGAGATTATCTAACGTGAACCTTAAAGAGTTAGGTATTTTGGGTGAGGTGAGGTTTGCTAGGAGGGCTTTTCCATTCTGGGCATGGGGTTAGTCCTTAAGAAAATGGCCCCGCAATAATACTCTCCTAGTGCAAGCGTCTTCTACTGTCAGTTTTTTTGCTGCATCTAAGATATATTTTTTGAATATTTTTATCACTGGCGAGGCAGCCTTTGTTGTATGGACGTCCTCACGGATGGACGCTCAAAACATTAAGAGCTGTTGTTCAAGCCGTTATTCATAAATTTCGATAACAGCTATATCTTCAGCCTTTGTCTTTAGCGCAAGTCCTGGTGCAATAAGGGAGTTATCGATTGTGGTGTCATTCAGACACATTCGGAAGGTGTCTGCATCTATGTCTAATGGAATATATCACATGGGGAGTGTTACCTCATCAGGGTCTTGGAAGTTAAAATTGCTAAGAAGCATAGTAAATAATTGGTGTTAAGAGGGAAAAGCTGTAGCGGATCAGAATAAAATATAATTTCTCAAAAACACGAAAATTGGGACAACACTTTCTAGCCAGGTTAGATACAAGACACTTGGATCCCCAAGTTCACTTTTATGAAGCGAAAAAACGTTTAAAAATGCGAAAAGCGAGTAATATACCTAAAATGGTATGTCCAATATTTTTCAAGGGGTTCAAGTCAATAAATTCAAATTGGTCCCATTCACCGCAACGACGATGAGTAAAAGAAAAAACGAAAGTTACAAAATATAAGGTTTTCTTTAATGTGGACCCTCAGGTTGACCCATGTTTTACCTTGCAATGATCACTCGAACTTATGGAATACAGTCAGCAGCAGGCATCCACTTTACGCTTGAAGCTTATCACATTTGTTGCTATAATAACTGTTTCTTAGAGTTGGTTCCAGCTGTTCACCACACGGGTTGTCAGAAACTATGCTCAAACTTCCAGCCTGGAACGTTCTTTGGTTCATTTTCATGAGTGCCCACGAAATGCTACGTTATCACCAACCCGTATCTGGTATGTCCTTTATACTCCCAAAGGCTTCTGTCAGATCACCCGTTAGGCGTCTCTTTTTCAGGGAAAATAGGTTCGGTGCTGAAAGCCCAGTTGCGTAGGCTAGCCCCCGAAGCACCTTGCGATCCTATGTTGTATCGCTTCTAGGACCTTTTTGTCACGCTCTCGCTAGGGTGACCATGCTCGGATGCAATATTCTAAGTGTAATATCATGTACATTTTATGGAGAGATAACAACATTTTCGGGGTCTGGCGAGATAACAGTTGTCAGTAACCGATACAGTGCGTTTTTGGCTTTACGTGCATTGCTCCTTTTCTTGGCAAATAACTCAACATAAATTCCCAAGTTTCTCATTTTTTCACTTATTTGGAGTTGCATTGGCTTTTCCGTGTTAATTCACTGTTCCGGGTCCGAGCTTTCAGGCTCTATTAGATGTCTACACTTGGCTAGGTTAAGCGGTAGCTCTCAGTATTAGGTCCAGCGCATTAGGGTATCCGAATTCTTCTGCATGGTGTGGTTTTAGGGGGAACCCACCAGTTTCAGGTCATCTGCGAAAATGAACGCTGAGCTCTCGAGCCTCGTCGGAAAGTCGTCGACATACATTAGGAAAATGAGAGAGCCCAAGACTGAACCGTGTGGGACTCCACTTGCTATTCTATCCTCCACCGATTTGGCCCCTTCTACAGTAACATGGAAGTCTTCCGTCCATTCAAGCCAAATGAGGTCTATTTTGGAGGTCCGGAACTTCAATAGAAGTAGTCTGTGGTTCACGGAGTCAAAGATCTTTCGGAAATCCAAGTGACATACTTCTCTCCTCCCCTCCGGCCCAATCTTTCAGTGCTTTCATTCAAAAACACCAGAGGGTTTGAGAGGCACGATCTCTCTCGCGAACCTGTGCTGGTTAGCGGGTAACTGGTAGTGGTGCGTAACATAAGCGACTACCCTGTCCATCAGTAGCCTTTCTAGTGCCTTATGCGGAATCTATGTTAAACTGACCGGCCTACAGTTTGCTGTTTGATTTCTGTCTCCTCGCTTATGTATGATGACAGTATTCTCCACTTTGTTGTCCCCTGGAAGCCATCTATCTTGCAGGGACTTGTTAAACACCGCTGATAGCGATGCTGCAAGCACCTCCGTCAGCTATTACAGGAAAGCTGGAGGAATCTCGTCCCGTCCCGTTACCCTGGCGCACGATTGGGGCTGGTGATTTCTCTCTCGATAAGTTTTGTGGGTTCTTTCGAAATATCTACGTAGAATATCTAACCTTTTCGCATTTGATTCTGCGCTATCCCCATCCTCGTTTTTGGCGTTTCCGGCCGCCCCTCTGAGTGTGCCCTTTGATTGGACACAATTACAGTAGGCTTTCGGATTAAATTTTGCGTTCTTAACTAGGTTTGTTTCGTACGCGATTCCACGCTCCCATTAGACCGCAAATGGGTGCTTGCGCATAAGTTGTACTCCAGATACCGATGGTGGCTGAAAGACGCTATCAGTCTTCCCCACGCCCGTTGTTTACTAGCCTGGGACTTGTGCACTTGCGTCTTCCACCACGGAGCTTTTCCGTACCTCCAGATGTTTCTCAGCGGAGAATGTCTATTCACGAGCTGTAGAAATTTAGACTTCACTAGGTCCCAGCTCGCCTCTCACTCCTAGCTGTGGTCCGAATTAGCACCTCTTATACGCTCCGTAAGGTTCATTCCCCCATAATTTCTCCTCAGCTTGTCGAGTGAGGTTATGCCTCGGAAAGACATTGTAATGTGGAGTAGAGTGTGATCGCGCCTACCCAGCGGAGCCGTTACTTGGATATTCTCTATTCTATTTGTCCCTTTCGTTACCATCGGTCCAATATGGTGGGTTCGTTTCCACTGCCCCATCGCGCCACCGCGTATCCTCGTTTACGTGTGGCACGAAAGCTTCATCGTGCAGCGTGTTTAGTATCGTGTAGCCGGAGAATTCCAACGGAGCACTTCTTCTCTCCAGTTTATGTCCGGTATGGTAAAATCTCCTAGGATAAGTGGCTGACCGTTGTGCCTAGCTGTTGTTCGTGGCATGCGCATCATCGTTGTCTGATAATTATGGGCTTCCGTAAACGCTATCAGCACCTTCGTGGGGCCAATNGGGGCCAATGCTTACCACGCAAATAAAAACTGAATGTTTGGTCTTGACATCGTAAGTGCACGCCTTTGGTCCTGGTGTAAATGTTGTGCCACCAGTATGAGACTCTGTCTACCCATCCTGCCGTCAGTCCGATCGGTGCGTTATTCGCAGAAGGCTGAGGGGCAGAGGTGTTTGATATCTATACCTGGATGAATCTAGGCTTTCGTGATAGCTACATCACATTTCCCTGTCTCTACTATAAACTCCGGCCATTTGTCCCCCACGCTACGCATTTATGTATGCAATGTGCAATGGGACTCCCCCCCCTGATATTTGGCACCCCACTAAGGGAAGATAATTTCTCTTCATTTAATCTCGATCATGTCCTTTTTGGACCTGTTTTATCTTCTTTGTAACCTGTTTGTTCC